GAAAGAGTAAAAACGTACACCTACCTTGGTACTAAAGCAAGGTTAAAACGCATTGATTGATTACCTTGGTACGAACGTCAATGAAAATTGGGACCATTCCATAGAAATCAAATGTAGAATAGAGAAAGCAAGATCTGCATTTCAAAAAATGGCTAAGTTATTCAAATGTCATGGTTTATCAATGCCCATAAAAATCAGGTTACTACGATGTTACATCTTTCCTATACTGTTGTACGGAGTTAAGTCATGGACTCTCACAGACGCCACCTGCAAGAAAATTGAGGCTTTTGAAATGTGGCTTTATCGTCGCATCCTGAAGATATCGTATACCGACCACGTTACTAATGAGGATGTTCTGTTGAGAATGAAAAAAGAAAAAGAGCTGTTAACCACAATAAAAACAGCCAAAATCGAATACCTCGGTCACATAATGACTAACAGCGAAAGAAATGTCCTAACACAGAGATGTCTAGATGTTAACCAAGAGGTGCATGCCTGCTTTATAGACTTTGAAAAGGCCTTTGACAAAGTACGCCACAATAAACTCAAAGAAATCCTGGAATATTAAATCTGTACTGGAATCAGCCAGCTAATATAAAGATAGAAGACCAAACATCTGACGAAACAGAAATATCAATAACATTCGATATGCGACGATACTGTGATAATAGCAAGAACAGCGGAAGATCTACAACATCTAGTTGAAAGTATGAATGAGATATGTAGTAACTACGGCATAAAGATGAATGTCAAAAAAAATCAAATATATGACCTTCAGTAAGAATCCAATACATGACACTAGTATCGCAATAAACGGTACCCAACTTGAAAAAGTAAGCGAATACAAATACTTTGGAACAATCATTAATGAAACAGGTGACCAAAATCACGAGATAAAAAGACGTATTGAAATTGCCCAGGTCTACCTTTATAAAAATGAAAAAATTATTTTGTAATCGTGATATTAGTATTCATCTACGAACTAGAATGTTAAAATGCTAAGTATTCAGTACTTTGCTTTACGGTGTTGAGGCATGGACTCTTAAACAGAGGAATATTAAAAATCTTGAAAGCTTTGAGATGTAGTGCTACCGCCGTATACTAAAAATAAGTTGGGTGGATAAAATTACAAATGAAAAGATAATACGCAGAATAAATAACGATCCAGAAGTTATTATGAATATAAAAAAGAGAAAACTTGAATACTTAGGTCACCTGATGAGAGGACATAAGTGGAAGAATGTCCTGGATGAGAAATTTAAGAGAGTGGTTTGGCTGTACCGCTAACGAATTATTCAAAACAGCAGTTAATAAAATTAAAATCGCCATATTGATATCCAATCTTCGATAGGAGAGGCACTCAAAGAAGAAGGAACACGCCAACTAAACTTAACCCTGAACTACTATCGTGGGGTCAAATTTGACCCCAGGACTTTAAATTTCGTGCGCCACTGGTAGACAGTTTGGCGAACGACCTTGTTATTATATGTATTCTCCCAATTAAGTACGTAGTTTAGCATGCCGCTTAGTAACAAACGATCAGTGGGATAGTGCACACGTGCTGCTGAGTTACGGTCGGATTTGACCCCACCATTGTAGTTACGTTATTATTATTTAAGATAATACATTAAAATGGCTTCAAGAATTAGCGCAAGTACGGTGACAAGTTAAAATGTTTTTGACTTTCTCGAATCTCTGGAGGAACCAACCGAAAATATTGACACTTATAGTGACTCCAATAACAGTGATACTGACACTGAAAGTGAACATTCGGTTCACGACACAGATTCAGAAATTGACGTAAGTGACTTATCAAGCGACGAATGTGAAACAGCATCTAATAATGAAACAAATTTTTACTATGGACGGAACAGATATAAGTGGGCTAAAAATGCTCCGGCCCCATCAAAAATTTGCGCACAGAACATTATTACACACCTTCCTGGTCTTCGTGGACCTGCCTTAGAAACAAAACCATCCAGTCCACTTAAATCCTGGTCACTTCTTATAACTCCTGACATGTTGGCCTCTATTCTAGAGTACACAAATGAAAAAATTACCGAGCTCAGTGTAAATTATGGGGATACATGTACATTTATCGATCATCTAAACGAAGGTGAACTTAAGGATTTTTTGGGTCTTTTATACCTTTCAGGTGTACTAAAGTCTAATCATGACAATGTCGATTCATTATTTTCGACAAGTGTTTTAGGTAGGCCAATTTTTCGTGCTACAATGTCAAAAGAACGCTTCTTATTTCTTCTCACAGCAATAAGATGACAATCATGAAATAAAGAGAGCAAAAGAAGGCCAATGGAGATCGACTTGCAGCAGTGTCCTATTTATTTAAATGTTTCGTATCTAACAGTACAGCAAACTACACCTGTTCCGAATATGTTACAGTGGACGAGATGTTGGTTGGGTTTAGAGGTAGATGCCCTTTCAGAATGTACATGAAAGCCAAACCAGTCAAGTACGGCATCAAGATCATGTGTTTATGTGATCAAAAACACATTATTTGGTAAATGCTTTTGTGTATACGGGTAAAACAAATGATCCTAATGCCCAAAAGCTATTCATACCTACAAGATCAGTACTTGCTTTAGTGGAACCAATTGCCAATAGTAACCGAAATGTCACTGGTGATAATTGGTTCACCTCAATAGAGCTAGTTGATGAACTAAAAAAACTTCGACTTACCTATGTAGGTACAATACGTAAAAATAAGAGAGAAATTTCTCCACAGTTTCAACCAAATAAAAATTACGAAGTTGATAATGTCCCTAAAAAAAGTAAAAATGTAATTATGTTGTCGTCTATGCATCGCGACAAATCTGTTGACCAGGAAAGCAAAAAACCTGATATAATAGCTTTATACAATTCGTCGAAAGGGGGCGTTGATGCACTTGATCAAAAATGTGCACTTTATCGTTCAGGTCGAAGATGCCAGCGATGGCCTTTAGTAATTTGGTATTCCATAATGGATATTGCTATAGTACACAGTCACATTATTTTTCACGCAGCTAATCCTGGGGTTAGAAAAAATCGATCGGATTTTATTCAAGAGCTGGGAATTAGTCTTATAAATGAACTTTTAGAAGTAAGATTTGCAATGCCAAATTTGCCAAGAGAATTACGCTCGATAATTTCCAAATCATTAGAAAATAAAATTACTCATCAAGATCAGACCAAACCAGAAAGGCCAGTTGTAAGACGTAGATGCTACTTGTGTCCCAGAGGTAAGGATAACAAACATTTCACATTTTGCGCAGAATGTCATAGGACCATCTGCAAAACACATTCACTTCAGAGAGTTACCTGTATACTATGTGCAAAAAATAGATAAACACTTACAATTTGTTCAAATATTTTTGTCGCAAGATTCTAACATTACGAAAAAAAAAACATGACTGTTATTTTTTTATATGGTTACTCTATTATGATTTTCTTTTGTATTAGGTTAAGACGTTACTATAATAAACTACTTTTCAGAAAATGAACCGTTAATTTCAATTTAAGATATATTTTTTTTGTTATAATAAGTTATGTTTTTGATCAAAATTTATTTTAAAAGTTCTATAATTTTTATTATAGCATCTTAATTTTCTTGAAATAAAATTTAAGTTTACAAAAAATCTCTTTTTTATATACACATTCATTTGTCAAAAATACAAAAACAATAAAAAATATATTTTTATATCTTGTTTAGAGGTTTTTAAAATTCGGGTAATCTATGACCATCGAGCAATCAGACAAAAGAGGGAATGTAAAGGTAGTGGGGGTAAACATATTGATAGACAGGAAGTGCCATCTTGAGAGGCCACTTTAGACAAGGATAGACAGTCTCTTTCCTTGTTTAAGAAGTCAAATTTAGTTAGGTTATGTTATTGTTTGTCCCAACTGTCACATGAAATTTTATTTATATTGAAATCTTTTACCAATTGTGTCACTTTTTAGACTATTATAGTTAATATTTAATTAAAACTTTCTCGTCTGAAAAATATTTTATAGCTATTGTTAATAAGTGTTGGAAAATTTAAATTTAGCGCCTTTGCATTTCCGGATATGTCCGCCATCAGAGGCCACTTTTTTGGTCTCCTTTTCATAACGATTAGATTCCCTCTTTTATCTTTTTGCTCGATGTCTATGACCCAACGATAATAGTTATGTGGATGTAAATACACGATAGTAGCTCAGGGTTAAAAAAGGAATCCCTCAATTGCTAGCACTGAATTTTAATTCAATGAAGATATTAAAATTTGTGCAATAACCGTCCAATACGTGTGTAGAGAACAGAACAAAAATAATTTGTATCAGAAACATTTCATATTTTTATTTTAAGTTTTAATAATTATCTAATGCTAAAATTAAATTAGCAGGTGAGCGCATTTCAACCGTTAATAAATCATTTTTCTCTCTATATTAAACTAAAATTAGAAATAGGGTTCAAACAACAAAATTTATCACCCGTATTAATAGAATTACTATTTTTTAATCCAAATAGTACCCGTACATAAAACCAGTAGCTTCTTACGCGAAATAATTCTTTTAAATATTAAGAACAATGCTCCAGCCGAACATACTTAGAGATTGAGAAAAAAAGATTAAAAGACAGTGAAATAACCATGGAACAGGGAGGGAGAGGAGTCGTGTACTGCGCACACCGCCTGAAGTGGGAAGGACGTAGAGATCAGTCGTCGCAATATCGTCGAGGCACACAGTAGATTTCGAGGCCATGCGGTAGACGCTCGTTCATACGATAACAATACAAAACCGCTTTGCTTTGGCTACTCGCTTATGCAAGACAAATTGAATATTTTCTTGTTATAACAAATTTTAACGAAATTGCAGTGTTTATTGGTTTTGTGGGACAGTGTACTACGGTTTTAACTAACTTTGTCTTTTAATTCACGTGCATTCTCGCGATTTGTGACTCCTGCAAATCATTTGTGAAAGTTAACAGTTTGAAGTTAGGAAGCAAGAAAAAAATCGACTACAAGATGGCTATGGTCACCATGAACAATTTTTTGAACGGAAAAGATTCAAGATGGCTGCAATTGGAGGTATGCCGCGAATTTCAGAGAAACAAATGTTCCAGGCCGAACACCGAATGCAAATTCGCCCATCCGGCCGCTAATGTTGAAGTTCAAAATGGTCTTGTGACCGCTTGCTACGATAGTGTTAAGGTAAGTGTTTCTTACCGACTATAATCTCCGTTCATACTTGTTAATTAAGTAAAAACCCGACGGTCTATATCGTAATATTAGCAAACAGTATAATTAGTTGCTTCATGAACTCATTAGGATGACTCAGATGTCTGTCAGTTTAAGTTTTCATCGGGCGTGCATGTGGCGGCGGGAGGGGATCGGGGTCTAAACATATGGAACCTGCATGTGGTTTGAAATTAATAGCATTGTCTGAGCAGGTAAATTATTCAAAGCAACCATTTTCCGGTATTATGAAAACGGTTTTTTAGTAGTTTACAGATTAATATGGACGAAAAAATAAAATAAATATCATTCACTCGTAACTCCCAATGACTATTTTCTATACAAATGTACAAAATAACTCAAGATATACTTAGTTTTACATTTCACATAAATGTGTAGATGTTCATATTATTAGATTTTTTATGAACAGTTCTAATCTGCTTGTCTTAGAAAATCGGATAAACAAATATTTGCCATTGTTGATAATCTTTTATACGATTCTGATAATAAATAAAACTTTACGGAATTCTTTGAATTTGGTGGATAAAAAGGTAGATTACTGTTGCAAGTTCAATTTTCCCTATTTTGTAATTTTACTTCGAAATTCTTAGATAAAACATATTCTTTATGCTCCATATTCTTTATAAAACTTTATTAAGAAATAGAAGGGAACAAGTCATAGAACGAAAGATCTTTTAATAAGATTCTAGGAATATGTCTGATTCTAAGATTTAGAGTAAATGAGAAAAATATTTAATCAACAACTCAATATGTACGAATATACAAAAGTATAGTACTGAGTAGGTGGAAAGTTAAATGAAAATAATGCAAAATTTATTATGATGAAAGAATGTTTCAAATTCTTATCACAAAATAAAGTCTTCTATTGAAAAATTTATTTATTTCTCAAACCAGAGAAATGTACATAATTTATCCCGATTTTTAATTTTGCAAATATACCCATGTTTAACTAGGGTATTCTATAATTTAGTCCAACCTGCCTAAGATGTATTGAGACTTTGGATTGAAGATGATTTCCTGAACTTTTTTGGCAGGTTCCGCATTATCGGGAATAAATCACATATTTAATTAAAAATACATTATATTTGAACGGTTTTCTTGTGGAAGTCAAAATACTCGATTTTGCAAAAAAGAAAAAAAAAAGTTTATAATCATGTAAAATTTTAATATTTTGCTAGTAGATTTCACCCGTCTATTTGAAACGGTTACAGAATATTACTTTTGGGATTTTGAAAATGTATCTTTTCAAAAAATTAGAAAAATGATGTGACTCGTCCATTTCTGCATAAAAATATATGTATTTTTATACATTAACATTATAAGTAGATACTAAAGATTACATGAATACGTTAAAAGTTTAGACAAATATAAAAGGCTTCTTTAATCCTAAATACACATATTTAGAGCGAAAAAATTCGAAATTATTTAGTTATAAATTTCTTTGGAATATTATCACCAAACTATATGCACTTTTTGATTCCATCCACTCTTTTTGTTTAATTGTCACTGTACCTAGTGGATAACCTGGAATTTTTGGTAAAACCACAATTTCCACTCTGATTAAGATGTTCTAATGTTCCACTATACTTTTGACAAACTCCTTAACCTTCATAGGTCCACGATGTTCAGAGCCATACACAAAGTAATGAAACTTACTGTTATTGAGTGTATTTTTGGGTTATGTTGTAATTTTGAGTTTCTAGTGAAACTGCATTTTTCTTGGAGTACCTATCTCGGCCACCATGATTTGAAATCAGTTGTTTCGAGTATGTTAACCTCTTTCCCTTAAATTAATGCACTCTAGAAACGTTAGCAATGATTTTCGTTGGACCATGAACAGTAAGTTCAAATTCGGTCATGTTTTTAAGTGCTCTGTTGATCATAGAAAAGTCTCTTACAAGGCTGATAAGAAAAAAGAATGTTATGGGAAAATAAGCATAATTTTTATTTTGTCACCAACAGTAATAATTGTCGCTGTATAGATTCAGTAAGCGTTTTTTTAATGTAATCTAGAACAAATGAGCACACTTCATCGGGTGTATTTTTTGCTATACCTTCATGACAAATGTACAAAAGCCCACTTTTTTTTTTTTGATATCGTGGATACAAAATAAGTTAGTAGTGAGCTCGTTGTAATAGGAAACTTATCTTACTGATGTTACTGAAAAGTGAATATTCTGTATAAAATCAAGCACAACAAAAGAACGTGTGGCATTTCGTTTTTTACTTATATGTATAATTCAGAATAACATTTTTTGGTTCTTTTATGTATCATATACTCAGCAGCAGTTACTCTTTTAACGAGCAACGAATTTTAAAACGATTATGCATTTTTCTATATTAAATCTACTATACAGGTAATATATTTCTCTACCAGAGAGAATTCTTTTCTTAGAAAAGAATTCAATTTGTTCTGTCATGTACTAAACGTGGCTTCTTCAGGAAACGCATTTCCGTTAACATTTCTACCCTTCATATATTTCGGACTCCTATAATTTTCTAATTCTTAAAAGTCTCTTTTCGGTAATAGAAAAAATGGACAAAAAGGCTTTCAAAACACACTTCACACTTTAAATCTTCCGTTAAACAAATACTAATAACTGTACGACATTTCTTTTTGATTTTCTTTGGTTGTTTATGAATATTGGTTATCTCGATGAGTCCTTAAATGAAAATATCTTGCTCGTTCATTAGATGAGCAATAATAAATCATAATCAGACACACTCCCAAAACAGTTTCTTTTGTAACTAAAAAAAATATTCATTATATTCTCCAAATTTAAAATCATAACCTGCAAGATTCTCCAAGTCTTTTAGCTGCAGCTAAAAGTCCAAAAGTCACTGACTTTTCTCCCTTCTGCAAAAGCGGTTCATTTGACATTTCGATTTCCAACTCAGAACATTTTTGCTGCGGAAAAAATCGAAAAATTAAATCTATTTCCAAATCAAATTTATTCTGAGCATCAGAATTTAAATTTGAAAAACTGGGTTTCGACAATTTCTTGTATAACTCTTAATTTTGAAACATAATTGTGGCCAAGCTGCAGGTCCCGCTTGATTACCTTACATACCTTATTATAATGAAAGCTGAAAATATCTAAATCTTTTTTCAAATTTGCCATGAAGCTTCCTTCAAAATTCCTTACACATCACAACAGTCAGTCATTTTAACTTAGGAAATGAGGCTGAGACTAGTCATTTCAACCTAACTGATTGGCAAATAGAAAAAGTTGTGATTTTAAGGAGGCCCTTACATTGTCAACAATGTTTACAAACATGTAAGTAATTTAATTACTATTTATAACTGGGAATAAGCCACAATTAAAGATAAAAATACGTTTATTGACGTTTCAATTTCCAATTCGGAAATCGTTCTCAAAATACAAACAGTAAATTAAACAAATTTTGTTTTTTGTTACATAGTGAAAAAATTCTTCTAATAATTTAATTTTATCTGACTCATTTATATTGACAATTCAGACATACATTATGCATTTTAAAGTAGACGACTTTAAAATGATATTGCCAATATTGTTGAGTTGCGCTCCTGGGACGACTTTACTTATAAGATAGTTCATTCGATTACATGAAATCAACTTTAACTTGAGAATATCCGTCAGAAAAAATCATAGCATGTAATTCGTCTTTAAAAAGACAAACACATGACATGATGACAGTAAAATTCTCCTGTTAGTGATTCCATAGTAAATTATGAGGGAAAAAATTATCCTTTATCGTTTATAAATCGTACAAAAATCCCGTTGATTTTTCCTGGGTATCTAACTAACATTTTTAAATACATTAGAAGCAATTTAAGTATCAAAATCCACAAGGAAAACAATTCTTGTAGCTGGCTGTATACCAGATATCACAAAAAAAGAGGTTAGTTTTCGTAAGTGGGTATATTTATTTAAAAACCCTTAAAAGGGCTACATCAAAAAAACAAACGTTTTTGGACTAAACAGTCCATCATCAGATTTAAAATCTCCTAAAATAAGTATAAATCATTTAGTTAAAACAAACGTGGTTATGAAATTTGAAATTTTGACTATGGTTAAAAAGCAAAAATGGCTATACTTACTAGGTTAAAATGCCTGAGCCACCAAAAATACATGGGTAAAAACCCTTTCAATTACATATAGTTATAAAAGATTATACATCTTGTTGTTAAACAACTGTGATGTTCAGTATTAAATTAAATATGACTTCAGGTAACATACATTGTAAAAATTGAGTTCCAGAGCCGGGGAGAAAACCTCTACGCATGGAGAACAGCTGGAAACTGATTTACAACATACCTATGAACGGTGTCAAAAACAAAATGTCAATGTAACATGGAACTATATTTATATTTGTTATACCTAGTATTACTACAGCCAAAAGATTCAAAAATTATTTTGATGATTTAAAAAATAATAATAACAGCAATATAGGTGTTGGGATTTAAAATTTGGGTTATAATCGATGTGAAATCACCAATGGTGTTAAAGTCATGTTTAAGAGGATGACTTGTGTATTAGACAACCTATGTTGCTTTTTGTTGTATGTCGTATTTTTGTCATATTCCATATTTCCATCCATTTTTTTTTTTAATTTTTTAGTCAACTATTTAGAGTTCACGTACTCGAAAGGGGACACCATGTGCCATTGGCATTTATTTTGCTTTAAAATGAGTTTGAAACTGTTTGAAAAATTTACACTGGGAGTGTAGTTATTTTTTTTTTTTTTTAAATTATTATAACATATTTGAAAGGTTTTATTTAAACTTTCAGTAAACAGGAGTTAGCGTACTTGTTCTTCACTACGTACAATTTCTTTCAGATGTGGTGTTAAAATGCTATACATATACAGCACAAGTACATTATATTCTTGTAGGTTACTAGAATTCGGAAATTGGCAAATTGTTTAAGCAATATTGTCTAAAGTTATTAACCCCAAAAACATCCTATACATTT